ATATTTGAATAATATATTGTAGGGCCATACCTATATAAGGTATATTTATACGTTTTCTTTTTCAAAATACCAAACAGATCATGCATTTTAGCCATGCCTCATTTCGCTCTATTTTGCTCTCCTCCACCCTGTCTTTGCATGAGCTGCAGCTGACCACGCCCCCCTGCAAAGGAGGGGGCCGAGTTACGAGCGTCATGTTACCATGCTGTTACCATGCCACGGCAACCTCTCATTCCCCTGATAGGTGGAGAGTTGGCATATAGGCGGAGCTCCTCCGTCCTGACGGCAGAGAAATGTTCAAATCTGTATCAGTCTGTATCAGATCCGTTGCAGCCCCTTTTTTAGAGATTTGGGTATGGAGGAAAAGAGAGAGGGTTGTGTTTTCTGACACTTGGTGAGTTCCCTGACACACCGGGGACACATATTCATGTATAAAAGACGTACAAAAGTGCATTTTGCATGATAGGTCCCCTTTAAGCATAGACATTTTAAAAAAGGACAGCTACTATATCGACATTTTAAAATTGTATTTAAAGAAAAAGCCCTAACAAAACAGCAGGGCTCTATTTCAGTATTAAAGGTGGGGTAGGTAAGTTTGAGAAACTGGCTCGAGATACACTTTTTGTTATATTCCATGGAATGCTCTTAACATCCCGATAGCAATGAATATCTGAAGTGCTTTGACAAAAAATCCATAAAAAATGTCATCTGTGGAAGCCGTAATACTGTAAAAAGCACGACCAATCATTTTAGCCGGCCCGGCTAAAATATGGATGGCCTACCTGCCTGTCAGCCTTCCATCTGTGCACAAACTTATCTCGTGCCCTCATTGGTCATGTGTGCGTTGTGTGTGTTGGAGGAGGGGCTCTGTAAGGAAGTGGCAGATTTTTTCCGGTTGTGTATTTTCAAATTCTAGCGCACTAGAGCTGGTTTCTCCAAAATTACCTACCCCACCTTTAATTACTTTTTTCTTTCTTTATATTTCTATTTTTACGGTTGTTCCTTGTCAGTGAGTCCTTAAAGAGTTAGGGTTAAAATGGGTTGTTAACAAATAATATAAAAAAACAAATATTGACACACATTGTTCAACTTGTGACATTTACAGTATATAGAGAGGTGAAGTCCCTCCCTTTCCGGGGGACCTCCATGGGACCTTATTTCGGAAAAATTATGTTTGAAGTCAATGGAAGAGAAAGATTATCTTTCGATCCCGTTTGAATTGTGCCACGAATTACACATATGATGTTTGTCAATTTAAAAGATAATTTTACAAGTCAAAAAAATAAAAATGTGTCGTAAAACTGTGAAGTAACACTTTTTTTGTGTGAAACCGCTCAATGAACTACATCTCCCGTCTCGCACCACACACCAAGACGGCCGTCACGTTGGCACATTTCACCTCTTTCTTTCAGAATGAGGCGAAAAGTATTAAAAAGGTGAAAATCACTACAAGTCTGGGCATGTTGAGAGCTGTACATACACAAAGGGGAGTTAGTCGGAGCCAGCATGCGGGACCGGGATTCTGGGATTTGTAGTCTTTCTAGTTGCGTATTTTTCATAGTCTTATATTTCAACAGTTTTACGACAAACTGTGACTTTTTTACATGGAAATTATTTTTAAGATTGACAAACATCATGTGTAATTCGTGGCACAATTCAAACGGGATCGAAAGATACGTTTTCTCTCTCATTGACTTCAATACATAATTTTTCCGAAATAAGGTCCCATGGGTCGGAAGTAGATGGGCGTGACTTCGCCTCTCTATTTAAAGTCTATGGGTGTTTTCTCAATCGCGAGTAAAGCTGCTTCAGAGCCACTATTTCAAGCATACATCGAGTGCCGCCGAAGTACTGTTCCAATCTCCAGCATACTTGGAAATCTACCGAGCCTGGCGTACTTCGTAGCTAGAAATTCGAGGCTGCACATGTAGACTCCGTGGTCTTAAAATCCCCACAATGCTTTGCGCACGGACCAATTTCCCAAATCTGTGGCGGAAGATGTAAGGCGGGGTCTCTCTCATATGACGCACACCTGCACACTTGCTAGCGTGTTCCACTCTTCGTTTTCCGAATGCCAGGAAGTATTCTTGCCTCGCTTCTGAAGCAAGATGCTCGGCAGACATGTGTTACCAAGCAAGCGTACTCGCGATTGAGAAACACCCTATGACTGTGACAGGACATTTTACAGTAAAGTTAACATGGCAGCGCTCTCTGGTGAACAAACATGAGATGGAAACCCTGCACCTGATTATAATAATAATAATAATTGCATTAAATAAAACCAGAACCAATACAAATAAGTGTGCTACACAAAGAATTTAGAATCTTTGAAGTCCATAATAGTCCTTTATTTGTTTTCTCCAATACAGAGGTGGGAGAAGTACTCCGATCTTGTACTTATGTAAAAGTAGGACTGCTCTGTTACAAGTCAAAGTCTTGGAATCAAGTAAAAGTGCAAAAGTATAAGAATCAAATGTACCAAAAGTAAAAGTATACGTTATGCAATACAACATTACAGTACTTAGTTACTTTACATCACATACAAAGGCAACAAGTGCAATTCACACTTGTTAAATGTAAAAGTTCACATGCACACAATTTTTCTTAAAGGGCCCATGTCATGGCCATTTCCACTGATCATAATTCCATTGTTGAGGTCTACTAGAATAGATTTATATTGTGCAATTTTCCAAACTCACATTGGTTTCTCATACAGCATCTCTGTAAACTACTGTATTCACTGAATTTCACTCTCTGCCTTTAACGGCTCGTTGTAGCTCCAATAGCTCCAGCCCCCACCCTCCCTGTGAGCACAGTGTGCTCTGATTGGTCGGGACGTTGTGAATCGCTGAGCTCCGTGGAGGTGTTGTTTCCTTGTTAGCGATACACAGCCAAACACAGCCAAATTCATCCTGAGCACACACAAAGTCACAGCCAAGTAAAAACAATAAGTGTGGCTTGATATTGAGTAAGAAAAAGGTTGATAAACGCTGTGAGAATGGGTCTGCAGAGAGAATTTCGCCGCGATCCCAACTGTCTGTTATCAGCCTGCAGCCAGGGAGGAGAAATCAGCAGAGCTGCCTGCTCCCTGCACACAGATGTGTGTGTGAGGAAGTCTGTGGATTGGTCAATTTGGACCAATCAGCGGGGGCTTAACGTAACGGCTCCGCGGACGTAACGTAACGGCTCCACGGATTGGTCCATTTCGTTCCGGGTACGGCTTGACATCATGCCATACCCGGAACAAAATGGAAGAATCAAATGGACAATGACGTATCTCCAACGAGGCGTTTTGGGGAGGTATTTTCTGTGTTACGGCCCCTACACACACGGCGGCGTGCGTTGACGCTTCAACGCTTCTGCCCAAAATAGCACCATAGACATTAATGTCATAAATGTTGATCATATAAAGTGTGACATGTAAAACCTTTTATGCAATTGACAGCAGAGATTCATGTGATTGGTTGTTGGTCGCGTTGCTCGCGTAAACTCCCCAAGCTCAAGACACGCCCACCACCAAGTGGCAACGCACGCCGCCGTGTGTAGGCGGCATTAGAGTTTTACTCGCTACAGGGTGTACTTTGAGGGTTTGTGACTCTGCACACCGTTTACATGCATAAAAACCTTCATAACACACAAGGGGACGGGTAATAACCGGAAAAGCATGACATGGGCCCTTTAAGACTCTCCAATGACAGAAGGAACCTGTATCTGCCCGTGTTAAAGTCATTAACTTGAGGTTTCTTATTGATTATTATTATTGGTTTACTTTTTGAAGGGCACCATTTTTCAAGGACTAAGATTGATTGCGTTAAACATTAAATGAATATGTTAAAAACAGACTTTACTGCTGTCTCTAGCGAACAGAGTAATTATTTGGATCTTTTACGGATATTTTATTTGTGAATTATTATTATATTATTTAATAATCCAGGTTATCAGTAACATTGAATACAGTTTCTACCTGAGGCACAGTGTTTTATACGTGACTGAATGGAAATGCTCCCTTAAGATAATTAAATGTTTATTACTGAATAAACTGCTGTCACTCAGCCCCACTAAAGATCCACATCTCTACAAGAAGATGGAAACCTTCTGTATATTAGAAAGAAAAGAAAAACATAAACATGAGATACCTGAGTAGGATGTGTTATTTGGTCTGGTATAAAGCTTCAGGGTGGTTTTGACATTCTGAAACTGATTCTTTCAAGTTTGCATAGATGCAAATTAGAGAAGGTAGCCTGTATGGATGGTATCTCATGGCAACATGTGATCAGGACATGATATGACAACCGCTCTGGTCTATTTGGCAAACGCACATAATTACTTTCTTGTCAATATCGAGTGGTGCAGTGATGACGTATTTTTGAAGTAAGCATCGTAATGGCTCAATTTGGAATATTGCAAAAAATAAGATCACTGGAAAACACAACATTTAGTTTTGATCAGCTGGATAATCTCCTCATATTAACACCATTTTATGATTCTTGAAGCGTAAATGCAATCGCCAGAATTAAAAAAGCTAATGTAATGCTATAAAAGAACTACACTGTCGCAGGACTTCACGTCACCAACAATAAGCAAATGGTGGCTAATATTCTGCATTTAGGAGCCTCATTTAGCCACTCGATAGCAACTACCATTTTCAAGAAATCTTCAGACATTCACCTTACATAGTTACTCATGTATTTTAGGTCGTAGAACAAAAAATCTCTTCAGCTTGTGTTAATCACAGAGCTAACGTTAACTAACGGGTAGGGAACCCGAAAGTGCTAAAATTGGATTTGTGGGTTTAGGACTTATCACTGCACCACGCTATTGTGACCTAGCTCTGGAGTGTGTGTGTGTGTTTCTGGAGTGTGTGTGTGTTGTGTGTGTGTGTGTGTGTGTGTGTGTGTGTGTGTGTGTGTGTGTGTGTGTGTGTGTGTGTGTGTGTGTGTGTGTGTGTGTGTGTGTGTGTGTGTGTGTGTGTGTGTGTGTGTGTGTGTGCGTGTGTGCGTGCGCGCGTGTGCGCGTGTGCGCGTGTGTGCGTGTCAGTTTCTGCTTAGTCTCCCGGGGAAGTTGCGTCCTATAGCCAGGCCGGCGATGAAGATGAGGATGCCGATGCCGACGAGGCGGTAGGTGTGAGTGCTCATCGTGGACACTCTCTGCATGGACGACTGGGCCAGCTCAGAGAAGCTGTTGATCTGTGAGAGACAGGTTCAATACTGTGGTCCATCGTAATGACTCGGGAGAACATATTGTTAGGAAATCTTGTTATTTCTTGTTTTGCACTCTTTTATATTTCCTTCTCTGTGTCTTTTTTTAACTTCTTTATGTAACATTTAAGTCTTAAGTCCGCTTTTAGAGAAATTACCACTTTTCGGACTTAATGATTCAAACAAGGGCTATTCAAGTGTTCGTCCTGGGAAGTTGTTTTAAGTTAAAAAATATTTGTAACTCTGATATACATATTTAGCAATTTTAGTCAATAGGAAACGTGTTTCTTGAATCAATTACGTCACAGACTGACACTGAAGTTTTTAGTACCAGTGTTTGGCCAACTTAAAAATTGCTTTGACGCCTGGCTCACTTCCTGGGGATTCACTCGCATGTTTCGCTCCTCGTACTGCTTTTAGGTCTATCACATTGCCCACAGAGGCATTATAGTCTACAAGCCATGGAAATCATAAATAACTGAAGAGGTCTCAACTGATTGGCCGATGCCATTTGGTGCAGCCATGTAAACTTTCTATGGTCAATGAGCTGCATTGCAGGCCAATTGTTTTGCTTGAGAGTAAGGATATAAAATATTTGAAAATGGGGAAGCTTCAAAATCGACACACTCATGGTATAACTTCATCACTGACTCAGTGTGTCAGGAACCGTTGAAGCTTTATATACGACGCTATGCAGGTTCATACAGTGAGGCTTAATGTGCCCAAAACCAGGATGGCAGAGAAAAGAGCTCCAAACAGAAGAATATGGAAGAAATGAAGTTCTGACATACCCATCCTCCATGTTCCTGAATCCAGACCAGTAGATTGTTTTTGAAAAAATCCACAGTCCATCTCTGGATCTCCATCAGTGACTCGGGGAGATGAGTCACCACCATCTGAATCACACACACAATAAAGTCCATACACAAGGTGAAGCGACTGCCAAACTGTAATTTATTTAATTACATTGCTGGATCATTGGAAAAAAACTGCAACTGACAGATGTGATGGTTAGCTTAGCATGCTAGCTAGTATCAGAAACAAACTTGCCAAGTCTCTCAGTGAAACTTTGAAATAATACTGCATGTTTGCACTTCCAGTTCTCTTGTGTGGAAGCCGATGGGTTTTGGGATAGGGGTCTGTGGTTATCGCAAGTCTAATAGATTTTCTCACTAAAAAACATCAGTAGATGTCTCACAAATGTCTGCATTTCTAAGGTGTTTTGCCTTTAAGAAAGGTTTGCAACCCAGGGGCTAATTGAGACTGCTAAACAGAATCACGTTTGGCGCAGTAAACGTCACCAAACCAGACATTAGCCACCTTTAGCTTAGCAGTTTCGACGTGAAGTAATGCAGCTGCGATGTAATAGTCAAGCGTACGTTTTTTAATTCTGGAGCTTGCATTTACACTCCAAAAATCATAAAAGAAAATGTATTTGGGAACATACTCCTACTGAACAAAACGTGAGCATCATAAACCTTTGATTTATTTTCATCATAATCCACACCCTATGGAAAAATCTGATTGGCTTTTGGTCGAGGTAACCAAGGTGATGCTTACTTCTGGGTCTGCCTAAACGTCATCACTGCAACACTATGAGCAAGAACAACTATCCCCCTCCAGTCTTTAAGATAACCACCTAAAACATTCAAAGGCTTCAGTTATAGAAACGTTTGTCACATATTTGCTAAATGGGAGTGCAAGGTAAACGCATTCCCACCTCTATCATTTAAGTTAAAATACACAATAATAAAGTGGAGATTCCTTTTTTACTGGGAAACAGAGGTGGAAAGGCACTTAAAAGCTTTTTCCTCTAAATCAGAATCAGAATCAGAAACAGGTTTATTGCCAGGTAGGTTCGCACATACTAGGAATTTGACTTGATGTCATGGTGCATACATAAAATATACACACATAAACACACAATGCATGTCATGCAGATGTTCTGAAAATCCTTTGGTAAAATGAAAGTGATGCGTTTGAAAACCAAACATACTCTGGCGCTTAACGTTAGCAGCCTCTTCGCAACGCTTATATGAACATAACGTTCCTCATGGAGAAGTAAGTCACACACTGTTTGATGAAAAGGTGTAAGACTTTCGATTTACCTGTGAAAATCCATTCTGATCGTCAGCTAACAGGCAAACCACCTTCACAGCCAGCTTGCCGGCGATGTAGCAGAGCATAATTATTTTCTCCCAGGTGATCCCATCCTTAAATACTTTTACTACCACCTTCTTAAACATGTCCCACTTAGAGCCAGAGGAACGAGCCACCGCGTCGATAGAACTGCAACAGACACAAGAGAGGAGTGGTTAATACAAGCTGAAGGGATTGCTTTTAGGCAAGGTTTTCCTTGTTATGCTCACTTTCAAGTTGTTCTGAAAAATGGTGGGATTTATAATTTTTTAATCATAATTCTCATCAGTGGGAAATCAAATTATTCTGGTGTGTTTTTTTTCCGATACCAAAACAAATATGTTTTGT